GGAGTCACGGGGCGTGGAACAAAAGACAGAAGTTATTGGAATCACCCAGGGCGCGAGCTCCCGTTCCCTCACCTGCGTCCTCTGTGGATTTCAGGCTCAATCCTTGGAGGGCCTTCAGGTGCGCGCTCGCCGCCGCCATCCTGGGCCGCGCTGCGTTAATGGCGGCGATGGCATCGCCGAGACCACCGCCGCCCACAGGAGGAGCAAGCGCGGAGATGGAAGGAGAGCCGAAGCACCGCGAGGGTGGCAAGCGGAAAGGAGCGGGCCAGTGGTTTGCAGAAGGGGCCAGCGACGAGGCAGCGGGCAGCCCGCCTTCGTCAGCTGCTGCGGCGACGAGAGGGGGGGGGGGGGGGGCGGATGAGGGGGGAGGGCGCGGACCACCCACCCGCCAGTCATGCGCAGGGGGCGGCTGCGAGGAGTTCGACCTAGGAGGGCGCGCCAACGGGCTCCAGAGTTTGGCCGTTCGCTTAGCGGCAGATATCAGAGACGCGAGCCACATGACATCGGATTTTTGCTTCGTCTTAGTCAGCAATATCGCGTTTCGGAAGCCGCCGGCATCAGGGCCAGGGGGAAGGGCAAGAGGCGCAAGATGGGACCGCCAGTTATGCGCAAGGGATTGGCGCTCATGGAAGGTGCGCAGGAGATCGCGTCGGAATGGCAGAGGGAAGACGAAACGACAGTGCCAGTATCAAGCGACAGAGCCATGGACACGCAGAACGATTTCCGGGGGCTGACGCAGGGCAACAGCGAGCTCAGCCAGGCAGTGTTCACGCAGACGATCAAAGGTGCGCAAGGCCAGCGAGAGCTACAAGGCGCGCAACAGCAATAACATAAACCCGAACGAGGACAAAGAGTTCTGGGAGGAGGGGTCGGGCAAGATCCAGATCGGCATCATCGAGCCCCCCAGCTTCAGAGCGGTGCGTCCGAACAACATGAGGGAAGGCGCCATGGCGAAGCTGGGCCAGTTCGCAGGCCGCAGCCTGAAGACGGCGATGGGGGCGCTGGTCGTCTACGCGGGAGGCACAAGTCCTAGTCGGCGGCGCCCGAGTCGGAGTTGGAGAGGATTATGGGGCGGGAGCTTCAGCGACGGCGTCGCTGAGCACGGCAGAGGCGGTGGCATGGGCGAGGTTTTCTCGGAGTGCGGCGCAGCAAAGTTCCGAGGAGGCGGTCGCTTTGGCGAGGTTTTCTCGCAGTTCTGCGCCGCAGAGCTTGGAGGGGGCGGTTGCATGTGCGAGTCTTCTCGGAGTGCAAAGGCACCGGGGCAGAGTGCCGAGCCGTGGCCGGCGCGGACGCGCACGTACAAGGCACTAACGTCGGCATAAACACCGCGCAATGAGTGCGTTGCTTTCGGCGAGCCCCACCTGGGGCAATTTGGCATAGTTTGGGTGCCCAGCAGCGTCCAGAAATGGAAGAGATGCCTTCCGGCTGACGAACTAAAGCCATAATCGATCGGCATGGGCGTTGGACGCCTCACCGAACTCAGACGTTTCGCCCCAACTGGTAGAATGTACGAGATGGCGCTGAAGTTCTGAGCAGAACGGGAAGCTGAATCACAGAGAAACCTCATGGGAAAAAGGCGTTCTTCGCAACATGCAGCCTACCCAACTCTGTCAGTAGAGAGCGTCATCTGCAAAGACGACGCGATCCGTTTCGCCGCCCCCCCCCTTTTCCATTTACTGATGCGGTGAGTTGGCGAGCGGGGTGCTGCGCGCACAGCGCAGCATGCGCGCAATGTAGACGGGCCGCGGTCGAAGGGTGGACATGGGCACGGAGTGCGAGGCACTGCGAGGGCGCAGCGCAGCTGGGGATTCAATGCTGTCTCAGCGGGGGGGCGATGGGGCCAACATATCAGAAGTACGACTTGCCTATTGGGGCTGTTGGGCTGTTGAGGTTCACCTTCGGTCGCCGCGGCCGGTCTGGCTCGACGCAGGCCGAGGCGAACAGCGCGACGCAGTAGCGGGGGTTTTCTCGGAGTGCGTTGTAAGTGCGGGCCATGGCCTTCCCGACCAGCAGCCACGGCCCCGCGGGCGTTGCGACGAGAAGTACCAGTGCTACTAGATGATCGAAAGCCGCAGAGAGCACGCGAGAAACGAGTCAGGCCGCGAGAAGGACCAGGGTGGCAGAGGTAGCGGATGCAAAAGAGCGCGCGTCGCTTGCGAGCTGGAGTTGAGGTGGGCGGAGTGGAGGGATTTGGACGAGGAAGAAAGGACGCTGCATGTAGGTGGAAAATAATGCGAGAGAGCAGGCCTGCCGGGAACAACAGCGGGGGGCGAATGGGTCTGCGTGGGTGGCCCAGGCATTTGGACATATCAAAGTTGTTCAGATTGAGCTGGCAGAAAAAAGGAGGCCCAGGTTAAGCAAGCAAAAAACTCCGGACGGAATCAAAGGGGCCATATCGCTATCCAGAAGTCAAAGGAGATGGCGAGGGCGCTGCTGGAAGGCGTAGAAATGAATGGGGGGGGGGATAGTTACAGCCTTCAGCAAACCAGGAGCGGGAGTGACGGAGGCCCGTCACTGCGCGGAACTAAGACAACCTGCTCGAAAGGTACATGGCCATGGGCGTAAATGACGAAGAAGCGCTGCAGGCGGCAAAACAGGAGTTGGAGGAGACAGAGATAGAGATGCACGAGATGGACGACTACAAAACGGCGAAGGAGTAGGGCGAGCAGCAGCCAGAGTATCTCAAGGCGCTGGACTTCGTGGACAAGTGGATCGACAACATGCAGCTGTTCAGCGCGTGCAGGATGGGGCACTGGATGGGGCGGGAACAGGGGGGGAGCCTGCTCGCGTGGGCCCACATTCCGGAACAAGTTGTGGCGGAGATGCCCCAGCCCCAATTCGAGGAGCGACAAGTGGCAGTTTTGGTGCAAGTTGGACTGGTTGCAGATAGTGAAGGCGCAGGAGGATCACCCAAAGGACGCGCTCTTGGCGGAATGGGTGGACAGCAAAAAAAGCCCGTTTGGGCCAGACTACGAGCAATGGCCAAATATCGGATGCGAGAGCAAGTTCTTCCCGTTCAAGAGCGGGTTTTCGATGGTGGTGGAGCTCGAATTGGGATCAGCGTGGCAAGCGTTCTGCGCGGGAAGACTGCCGCGGCAATTCGACGACGCCATCAAGGAGTGCCGCTGCGAGTTCTGCGACGCGACCATGGAGATGAGCCTGGATGAGCTATTCGATGCGCTCCCATTGTCTTCCTCGATGACGCGCGAGATCGAAGGCTGCGACCTCGCCGCGAGATGCCCACTGGCCCAATGGGAGAGACAGGGGAAGAGGGCGTTCACAGTGCAGAGCCGGCGCGAGCTCGCGCTGAAGATCGCGGCGAATGACGAGGATGATTTCCGCAAAGCAATGAAAGTCGCCACGAGTGAACTGAAGAACGAGGACATAATATATCCAGAAGAAGTGAAGAGGCTGAAGGGGCGCCGGAAGCTCAAGGACAGCGCTGAGACCATGCTGGATGGCACCGAGATCTTCGCGGAGAAGTTCGGCCACCCCAAGTCGGGAGAGACGACGACGGCCAGCTCGAGCGGCCGCCAGCGAGCGCGCCCACCGGAGCTTGGATATTGCCCAGTGAGAGTATCAGCGAGGTTTCTCGGAATGCTGATCTAGGCAAGTTGCGAGCTGGCCGTGTCCGCGCGCAGTCAGGAGAAGCATAGGCGAGGTTTCTCGGAGCGCTACTCATGACGGACTACTCGGGAACGACAGTACGCCTGCACCGCCATCGGACTGGGCAGTATTTTTTGGAATCAGTTTCGCGCCTGCAGGATGTGGGGAAAAAAAAGTGATCATCATGATGCCACCCTGCGCGCTCTTCATTGGCCCTGCCCATCATGCTCTACCCCGCAAGCTCCGAGGGGGGACTGAGCTACCTCGCAGGGTACCAGAGTACAGTGACATCATATGGAGCATCTCTCGGAACAACCGAGAAGCGAGCTGAGTGGAAGAGGGGGGCGCGAAATTCAAAACGTAGAAGTAGCAGGACCCCACCCACAATCACAGTTTAGGGTCTCGGGCCGTCCGTCTCTCCCCTTTTTCGCATCCTTTTGAGGTCGCGTCGTCGTCTCCTCCCCCCCCTTGGCTTGGGCGCCCTGCTCAACCCGCGCGCCCCCTCCCTCAGGGCGCGCGGAAGGGCCAGCAGCTGCTCCCCTCGCCCTGGCCCGATGGGACTCGCAATCTAATGTAGCGAGCCTCTCTTACGGGACCACCTCGGAGCTCAGACCTTGAGCCTTGGGGCATGCCCCCTGCAGGCCCGAGTGAGAAAGCAGGGCTGTAGCACAACCGAGCGCAGGGGATTTTGGCAATAGCGCGTAGATCACCCGTGCCGGTGCTCTGACGTTGCCCCCTGATGCGGATGTCCTTGTCCTTGTGTCCTCCTCCTCCTCCTCCTCCTCCTCCTCCTCCTCTTCGTTTTCCTCCATTGCTCCTCCTCCTGTTTTCTCCTCCTCCACCTCATCATTATCCTCCTCCCCCTCCTCTTCGTGCTTCTCCCCAGCTCCTGCCCCCTCCCCTCTGCGTCTTGCCCTCCGCTTGCGGGGTTGAGGGCGAGAATTCACGTTGCAGCTGTATGACTGCGCGCAGGGAGCCTGCGCCACACGGCGGCCCTTCGTCGGCGGTTCGGAGATGGGGCGCCGAGGGATGAGGCCTGAAGGAAAAAGTGTTTCGAACAGCGTACATGCAACCCGCATAGTAAGGATGGGCAATATTTCTGAGTGCGCCCTTGCATCCTTGCTTCCTCGGGCCATCATTGGCCGCTTTCCTGGGCCGCGCCCCGTTCGAAAAGCTCCGAGCTGCCCTTCCAAGGCCCTTTGCATCCTTGCCGCGCGTCCTCGTGAGACGGATCGATTGTATGTCCGCCTCCTTGGACCCATTCCTATCCCTAGGTCCGCATCCCTCGGGGCACTATCACCTCTTGGCGAACCGCCCGCGAGCCCGGGCCTCTCTCGATGAACGGCTCGCGAGTTCCCGCGGGCCCGCGGGCCCCCTCGTCGCCCACGCGCCAGGCCTGATGCGCCCGCCGAGGAGGCTGGCAGCAGCCCCCGCGAGAAGCTGGACAGGGAGCCGCCGGGGTTTCAGTGAAGCCGTGGCGGAATGTCCTGGGTTCGCGTATGCAGATCCACCGAAGCATGTCTTGGGAGCCTTTGGTGGTCTGCACGAGATGTTTTTTCGAACGTGTCTGTCAGAGAACGCCTTCTTTTGGCACATCGGGCTGACGTTCCAAGAACAGCGTTCTTGTTCTTAGAACATTTTTGGGTTCTAGGAACATGTCGTGGTAGGCCTATAAGAGTGCCGGGACAGTCGGCCCCTGCTCAATTCAGGGACGGGCAGGGACGGGGGTCGGTGCAAACGGAGGTCAGTCAGAGCGCCGGATCTTGCAGTATCCTGCAGAACCAGGGGTGCACTGACCCAGGCGTGCGGGCAGCATCCTCCACGATCCTGCAGGGTTTTGCAGGATCCTGTAAGGCCTGGTTTCCCACGGCTTGCATTGACCCAGGCCGGTAGATTCCCGAGAGCCGCCCAGGAGGTGGAAGCGGCGGCGGCGACGGCGGCGGCAACCCGGCCACGTACGCGTAAGACTGACCCTTCGCCGGATTGCCCTTTCGTTCGGGCCCAGGCTTGGCATCGCTTCGACGCTTTCACCTTTCCTCGGGGGTGGACAGAACCCCCAACAGTGACACGTCGATTAGTTAATTGTCCGTGTTCGGTTCTCGAGAGGGCGCCGTGGCCGTTCTTCCCCAGGCTTGCGCCCGCCAGGTTTGGGCCTCGAGTCGTTTCCACGAAACCACGGTTTACTACAGGGGGGTCTGTCCATCCCCGATTTCCCCGCGAGCACCATCAATAATATTACGAAACATAAAAATCAATGATAATACGAATAATGCTAATAATAAGCAAAAATGATACTAGTCGTAAGGAGGAGAAGGAGGAGGAGGAGGAGGAGGAGGAGGAGGAGGAGGAGGAGGGGCGGGGCGGCTCGGGCGGGGTAAGGAGCCTCCTTGAACGCCTCGCGAAACACAACCGCACGAACAATCGGCACGCGCACGGGGGAAGGGCCGCCCGAGCGGTGGCAAGCAGGGAGGAGAGGCCGCCCCAGATTATACCGGACTGCGCGCCTGGACGTGGCCCCCCCCCCGCGGTGCCCTCTGAAGCCGCGCAGCAGCAGTCGCACTCCTGTCAGGAGGGGAAAAACACACACAGACACAATTAATCGTCTCCTCCCAAGAAAATATTGGAAAATCTGCGCAGTGGGGGGGAAGAGAAAAATGCAGAAAATATGTGGAAATATGGGCAGTGGGGGGAAGACAGAACCCCAGAAAATATGGGAAAATATGGGGAATCTTTTTATTTGTGTGTATTTATTTGTGTGTCCCAGGGCCCCTTCAGCCTGCCCGGTCGTCGTTTTCTGATTCATTCTTTGCCGATCGGCGCGGGCCCTCGCGCGCCCCCCCCCCTCCCCCACCCCATGGAGTAGATCTTGGCGGTTTGGGGCGTCTGTTTCGAGCAGGTGGAGTCTCCCCCACAGCACGCACTGCCGCAAACAGTTGCACTGAGCAGAGGTCCGGAGCCAGACCACCCCCCCGCCTCAGCCTGATGTCGAGACGCCGGATAAGAAACGTTCACCTCGGGGTCGCTCCTTGCGCGCGGCCAAGAAAGCGGCAGCGAGCCCTCTGCCCACGGCGGCCGCTGGCCGGCGCGACTCGGGAGGAGCCGTAGGGGGGAGCCTCCGCGAAGATCGCCCTTTTGCCCGGTCGTTCCCAGCCATCCTGTGGCGTCGGGCCCTCGTTCTGAAGAGGCAGCGCCCCGCGCTCCCCCGGAAGAGAGCGGTGCTGGCGGGGATCTGCGCGTCGTGTTTTTCGTGGCGAGCTCCGCCGACGGTTGCAGATCGACGAACCCATGTACACGCTGCTCAGGTGTGAGCGAGCCGCCAAGAGGCTGCGGATGGTGCGGCGGAGTGCGTGCACATGCTCAGCTCCAGCATGCCCCTCCTCCCTGCTCCAAGCCGTGACACGCCCCTCACACGCGTCATGGTCCCAGAAGCAGGCTGCGTTCGCACGCGCCCGCCGCTCCCATTTCGGCACACCACTCAGAAGTTTCGTGGCCCCATAGGGAGCTCCACCGAAGGCCCCAGTGGCTATGTTCGCGTGCGCCCCCCGAAAGGCATTTCGGCACACACTTCACACGCTTTGTGGAACCATAGGGAGCTCCACGGAAGGCCCCAATGGCTATTTTCGCGTGCGCCCCCCTCCCGCACGCATTTCGGCGCGCCCTTCACACGCTTCGTGGACCCCTAGGGAGCTTTACCGAAGGCCCCAGTGGCTACGTTCGCGTGCGCCCGCCCCACCCATTTCGGCACACCCATCTACACGCTTTGTGGCCCCATAGGGAGCTCCACTGAAGGACGCAGTGGCTGTGTTCGCATGCGCCCGCCACACACTCTCGGTACACGCCTTACACGCTTCGAAGCCCCATAAGGAGCTCCACCGAAGCTCCCAATGTCTGCTGTCACATGCGCCCGCCGCACCTATTTCGACACATTCCTTTACACGCTTCGTGGACTCCTAGGGAGTTTTACCGAAGGCCGCAGTTGCTGAGTTCGCAGGCGTCCGCCGCACCCATTGCGGCACATCCCTCTACACGTTCAGTGACCCCATAGGGAGCTCCACCGAAGGCCCCAGAGGCTGCGTTCGCATACGCCCGCCGCACCCATTCCGGCTCACCACTCAGACGGTTCGTGGCCCCATGGGGAGCTCCACCGAAGACCCCAGTGGCCACGTTCGCGTATGCCCGTCGCACCCATGTCGGCACACCTCTCACACGTTTCGTGGCCCCACAGGGAGCGCCACCACGGCTCCAGTGGCTGCGTTCGCACGCGTCCGCCCCAATCAATCCGATGCATTGTTGATGCATCGGCGATGCGCAATCCTCTGACCAAATAATCTACTCGGACTCCATGTAGGAGGCCTCTAGAATAGCGACGGCTGGGGCGGTGCCTGGCGACGGCTGGTGCTGTGCTTGCGGACGGCTGGGGTGGGGGTTCGCGTCGAGACTCTTGAATTACAGGGACCGTTGTCAGGGGAGGCGCGATCACTGTGTATAGGGCTTCCCCAGGTCCCGCTCGCGTTGGCAGTTCTCGGGAGCCTCGAGGGGGGGTCAGTGCAGACGAGAGTCAGTCAGAGCCCCGAGTCTTGCAGGATCTTGCGACGCCAGGGTTGCACTGACCCTGGCTTGCGTGCAGGATCCTGCAAGTTTATGCAGGATCTTGCAAAGCCGACTGACCCAGGTTTGGATTGACCCGGGTCAGTAGATCCCCGAAGTCCCTCAACGATTTCCTTTTGTTTCTGACAAAAGTCTTGCCGCGTGGGTATGCGTTGCTTGCGGCTCGCTTTTTGGATTGCGCATCGCGTGCTGCGGGCTCGCCTTTCAGCATGTCGGCAGCGTGTTCTGGTTCTCGTGGCCCCTTGGGGCACATCGGGGAGATCTTGGAGCCTTTAGGGGCTCGTTGGGCCGCCCGTATTTGGATAGATTTGGGGCTATTCGGCGCCGAATTATTAGTATTATTTTTATGATCACTATCATTATTATTACTAGAATTATTGTTCGTATTAGTAGTAATCATGTTATTATAAAGAGTACGATTAGTATTGGTAGTAGTAGTATTGAGTGGTTGAGAACAACGAGTCGCGTGTTGCGCGTGAGTTCAGGAAGACGACAGGGACATGACAAGACAACCAACAGCCATCACGGTAGCGGATAATGCAGGATGTTGTTGTCGATGTTGTTTAGTTCATGCTCCGCGAAGTTCCCATGCCAGCGAACGTCACGTGTCGCTCATTATGTTTGGGTTCCGCCCGCCTTTGCCAGGGATCGCCGAGGTCTCAAGGCAAATGGTCCCGGTGCCGACATTTGTATCTTCCATGGTATTCCGCACATGCTGAGTAGTGGCAGTCCGGGTTCAGAGTAGGGGGGCAGTACACCCAACCGAGCCCCGTGTGTGCTGCCCCGCGTAGCACGAGAAGAGGTGCCCAACAGTTGTAGGGAGGCCCAAGAGGCCCCGACAAAACCCACAAGAAGTCGATCAAGAAATATGGTGATATTAGGTTGCGGTCAGAGAGGACGTGCACTCGCGCTGGTTCAGACAGCGCTGAACTGGAACTGGTCGTTAAAAGTAGGGGTGGTTCCTGAATTCCGCGTTTGTATGTTGCGCAACGCTGATATTCGGAATCGATATCCCGCGTGGTCGATTACAGATCCCCGTCTTCACGGCCTGCTACTCTTCTCGTTCAGCCTCCTTTTCTTCTTGGATGGGGCGCTCAGGGGAAGCCACTGGAAGGGCTGACCGCCGAAACCATCAAAGAGTGACATGAACGAGCCCACGCGAAACACAAACACCAAAGCCACACCTCACAAAGCATCGGCGGACTCGAGGCCCGTACTGTCTTCGAGCGGGGGCAGGGACAACCATGAAGCAGTGATTTTTTTATGCAGCCACAGACAGGTTGCTCAATGGGTCCAGGTTCAACCCTCTCAGGTGTACTATATATATATAGAGAGAGGTTTATAATAGTAGTAGTAGTAGTAGTAGTAGTAGTAGTAACAGTAACAGTAACAGTAACAGTAGTAGTAGTAGTAGTAGTAGAAGTAGCAGTAGTAGCAGTAGTAGTAGTAGTAGTAGTAGTAGTAGTAGTAGTAGTAGTAGTAGTAGTAGTAGTAGTAGTAGTAGTAGTAGTAGTAGTAGTAGTAGTAGTAGTCGTAGTAAGTAACAGTAAGTAGTAGTAGTAGTAGTAGTAGTAAGTAACAGTAACAGTAACAGTAACAGTAACAGTAACAGTAGTAGTAGTAGTAGTAGTAGTAGTAGTAGTAGTAGTAGTAGAAGTAGCAGTAGCAGTAGCAGTAGTAGTAGTAGTAGTAGTCGTAGTAGTAGTAGTAGTAGTAGTAGTAGTAGTAGTAGTAGTCGTAGGAGTAGTAGTAGTAGTAGTAGTAGTAGTAGTAGTAGTAGTAGTAGTAGTAGTAGTAGTAGTAGCAGTATAGCTAGATGTATACACGTGTCCGAGCTGCTCGTCGCTCTCCAGCATGAGGCTCTCCGTGTGCTGATGTTGGTTCAGTCCGTCCGTCGAGCCCAGCGCCCAGGCGGTGCCACTGGTCAGGTTTGCGCCGCGCCGATGGCGGCGGAGACCCCCCTATCAAAAGGGGTCACGGGTGAAAACGCCGCTGGTGGCCCTTGGCATCGCTTGGACGTGTGCATTTTTTTCTCGGCGAGAACCATCGAGGACCATCCTCGACCAACGAGCCAAAAATAACACGCACGAAACCAAAAAATGCACGGGAAATGGACGTCCGAGCGACGGCGAGGGCCCGGGATCGGTCCGCATCGAGGGGTGCGATCGTCAAAGGTAGAATCGACGGGTCGATGTTCCACCAACGCGACCGTAGGTAGGACGGGGAGGAGGGAGGATGGGGAGGTCCTCCTCCTTCATTTTCTCCTTCTCGTCCCCCTTCTCCTCATCCTGCCTGACGGTGTGCGGGAGTTGGATTGCCTACAAGGCCAGTGCGTGTTGTGACGCGTGCGCTCCTGCGAGTGATTGGGGCTTGCCCTCGAGAAACCCAGACTTAGACTGCAGCTTGTAGCATGTGCAGCTACTCGGTTGACAACAGGTTGGGTCCGAGTCATGTCTTGTCCTATCTTCTCCTCATCCTCCGTCACCTCCCCCTCCGACCTATGGCAGTGGAGGTGGAAATCGGAAGCGCGAACATATACATTACCAGTGACGGGTTGTTTTTCAATCCCTGGATTTTCGTGGACGACGTCGGGGTGGGGTGGTTTTCCCCAATCAGTGCTTGCACTGAAGGGGTCCTAGCGGAGATTGAAGGATTTGGCAAAAGTTCCGGGCCGACTTCGGTGGGTGGCCAGGTTCCCGGGTTCTTTGTTCTGGGTTCCCGGGTTCCCGGTTCGAGATTCCGGGCCGGTTTCGGTGGTGTCGGGTTTCTTGGGTTCTTGGTCGATTTTTTAATCGATCAGTCTCACCATCGATCCCATTACCCACCTCTCTATTGATCTCACGATCGATCTCACAATCGATCTCGCAATCGATCTCATCACGATCGATCTCACAATCGATCTCACTATAGATCGCACGAGCGATCTCACGATCGATCTCACTATCGATCTCATTGAATCGGCTTCACTATCGGTCTCACGATCGACCTTACAATCGTCCTCACTACCGATTTCACTATCGATCTCACAATCGATCTCACAATCGATCTCATCACGATCGATCTCACAATCGACCTCACTATAGGTCGCACTAGCGATCTCACGATCGATCTCACTATCGATCTCATTGAACCGGCTTCACTATCGGTCTCACGATCGACCTTACAGTCTTCCTCACTACCGATTTCACTATCGATCTCACAATTGACCTCAATATCCATGCCACTAATTTTCAAACCACCCACTGATTGCGGCTTTCTCGGGTGAAGGGGGAAAGAACGAACAATGTAGACTCCACGGTTCCGTACACACCAGGGCAGGGCCGAACACAGTGTCGGGGCAGGGCCGAAAACAGTGTCGGTGTATAGAGTTCGGTTCCCTATCGGGCGAAGAGAATTATGCACATGCACCGATCCTGGCAAGGCCCATCCTTGACCCAGGATCGGTGCATATGCCTTCCTGGCCAAGGCAGGAGGGCGTATGCACCGATCCTGGGCTCAGGATGGGCCTGGCCAGATTCGGTGCATGTGCATAGTTCTCTTTCCTCTATCCCTAGGAAATATACACGACAAATCACGAGCGATCCACGCGGTGGCAGAAACCAACGCCGACGTTGTCGCGGCACGAGCTTGCCGCACCCTCGGCTGCCAGGCCGACCGCGGAGCGCGGCCTCGCCCGGCAGGAGGCCCGTGCCCGTGTTCCTTGCAGCGGTGCAGCGGCGAGTCCTGGCGTGGGGCACAGCGGCGAGTCTGCCATGAAGGCAGGAGAAGGGCTGCGGTGCAGCGGCGAGTCTGTCATTGAGGACAGCACAACCCACCCCCACGCCCACCCAGGGCACCCACCTCCGACCTGGTGGTCCAGGGTGCCCTGGGTGGGGGTGGGGGTGGGTTGTAAGAGCCGCGGGGCCCAGAAACACACCCCCACCCCCACCCAGGGCACCCTGGATCACCAGGTCGGAGGTGGGTGCCCTGGGTGGGGGTGGGGGTGGGTTGTGCTGTCCTCAGTCATGAAGGCAGAAAAAGGGCTCGAGCCAAGCGGTGGTGTTGGCGATGCCGTGGACCGTTTGCGGTCTGATGTGGGTTCGCTGCAGAGGCAGAGCGAAGGCAGGGCGAAGGGCAACCAGCACGAAACGAACACGAAGCACGCTGTTCAGCTCGAGCCCTGGGCAGAAGTAGCCGAGGGACACGCGTCCCAGACCACTGCTTCCTTCCCAAGCCGTGCATGACAGGCCTGGGGCCGTCAAGGGCCCCAAGGAGCCCCAAGAGCGGGGCAAGTGTGCAGTTGGACCGAGGTACAAGGTCGAGGTCGCTTCGGGGGGCTACGCTCGTGTTCTTCGTGTTTGCTGGATATGTTTGTGCATCCTGGGGAGGGTACCCTTGCCTGTTCTGTGTGTGTGTATGTTGACCGACGGAGGGTCTCATGTTCTTGAAGGATGCTATTCTGTCCTGGGTCCGACTGTACAGGACCCCTTCCGTCTCGACGGCACTGTAACGGGTACTTACTAACGGGTACTTTGAAATTTTGCCGAAAGTTGCCACTTCAGGGCCTCTTTCTGGCAATGCAGCGTTGCCCGCATCGGGAAGCGTTGGGTTCGCTGGGTCACTGGCCAAAGTACCCGTTAGTGGAGCTCCCGTTTGTGGGGCGCTGACCGTCCAGGACGCGTTTCCATCAGGCCAGTGGCCCTCATCCCCTTGCCAAGTTGCCCGCATTCTCAAGTCGGGCCTGTCCCTCTACAGGGGGGAATAGTCAAAAATAGTAGAGACATTGCCTGGAGACTGTGTTTTGAATGTGTGTGGGCATCCTGTGAGTATGTTTTGGGTATTGCTTATTTGTCGCCCAAAATCCCCCTGCAGGGGACACGCCCGGCTTAACCCCATTCACCAACGGTATCCAGAGCCGCAGGACGCCGACATCGATGCCTCCACGATGGACGGAACCGTCATCGAGGACGGCGACGAGGAGTGCGCCACGGGTGAGCGGCCCCGCCGGCTGCGGCACAGCGAGCAGCGTGGCATCGGGCAGCGTCGGCCTCAGAGATACACGACGCGTTGACGCGGCGGCTGTCTTGGGTGGATCCTTGCTCGGCCGATAGTCCACGATCTGGCTTGTCGGAGAAAGCCACGACCGTTCCAGGTTGAACCGCCCACGCGGTGTCGGTAGCCAGTGTAGTTCAGGAGGAAAAGAAACACACAGACACAATTAATCCTCGATTTCCCAGAAAATATGGGAAAATATGGGAAGTGGGCGGGAAGACAAAAACCCAGAAAATATGGGAAAATATGGGGGATTCTTTTATTTGTGTGTATTTATTTGTGTGTCATTGGGCCCCTTTAGTAGTGCGCTCCCGCAGATTTGATGTTGGTAGATGGAGAGGAGCAGGTAGGAGGGGGATGGAGGGTCGAGGGGGGGGAGGAGGAGGAGGAGGAGGAGGAGGAGGAGGCGGAGGAGGAGGAGGTGGAGAATTCGGGAGAGCCGCAAGACGGAGGAGAACGGGCCTGCGGACGACGACGACGACGACGACGACGTCGAGGGACGAGTAGAGAAGGGATAAGCAGGAGGAGAAGGGGGCGAAGTAGGGAGGAGGGGGTAGCGAGAAGGGAGGAGAAGCTGGAGGGGGAGAGGCAAGTTGCAAGATAATAAGCGGGATTGATAAACCAAGGTAAAGGCATATTTTGCGACTAGGAGGCACCATTGATAAGGTGGAGGGGACATCGTGGGAGGGTGAGAGATAGGAGGTCGGATAAGGAAGGTGAAGCTGGGGGACGAGCAGCAGTGGGGGAGGAACGATGAGAAGGGGTGAGGAGAGGACAGGGGAAGGAGACTGCGCGCGCTATCGAGTGGTGGTGGGCCTCAGCGGCCTCTTTGAGTTCCCCCTCTTAGGGGCCCCTCTTGGGCCCCTCTTAAAGCCCTGGGGGCTGTCTGCCACGATGTTACGGACCCCTTGGGTCGTCGTGGACGGCAGGAATATTTGAAAAAAGGGTAAGCTTGCGAACGTCACACCAAGGCTTTTCGGCCCTGGGGCCCCGAATACGGCCTTCTGGGGCCACTGTACGGCATGCTGGAAGTTCGGATTTCAGAAATCTTAGGGTTCAACATGCGTCGAACTGAAAGCGAATTATTTCATGCAGGGGCCACGTAGGGTTACGAGGACACCCCGCTCCGTGCCCACGGCCTGCCGCACGGGTTCGGATATGTGGGAACACCACAACACGTTTTGGCTGGCTCAGCACCCCACGAGAGGTCAGCAATGCAGGCTTTCCTGGAAAGCTGTGGCCACGGACAAGCGCGACGAGCAGCATCAGTTTCATAAGTCAGAGGCCAATGACCCTGGGCGTTCCAATCGCAGCTCATTCCGCCCAGAGCATCATGCGAGGCGACCGTCTTGGAGACCTGTTGGCTCCTCGGCGAGACGTTTGTTCTGGGCCTGTAGCCCATTCATTCCATACTGTAGGAGAATGAGGAGGAGGAGGAGGAGGAGGAGGAGGAGGAGGAGGAGGCGGCACAGGTGCGTACAAAGGCTCTGCACCAGAAGGCTTGGGCGGCCCACGCGCGCCTGAGGCCAACGCGAAGGCGGCTACCATTAAGTCGGGCCTGTCCCCCTACAGGGGGATTTCCGACGACAAATAAAAAATACCCCAAAAATGCTCCCAAAGGAAAACACATACCCCGAACATAGTCCTCAAACTATTTTTTGATCATTTGTGGGGTATGTTTTATTTTTCGTCGAAAATCTCCCTGTAGGGGGACAGGCCCGACTTAAGGCTACCACGTGGACGTATCCGAGTTCGGGCTGGCATCCTCATGCCACGGAGAAAGACATCGTTTCTCTTGTGTCTGTTGCGTGCCAAAGCCGGGGTTGGTCAGGAGCACCTCCGCACGCTGGTCGGCGCTGCAGGCCATGCCACGAAGGAGGCGCCACCAGAGCAGCATCCGCCACTTTTCGAAGACGAAGCGCAGTCAAAGGGTATTGCATGCAGCCGAGCTCAGTCGCGCCTCGGCATTTGCTTCGTCAAGAACCTGTAGGCGCAGTGGTGCTTGCTGAAGTCCGCGAGGCTGAGAGCAAGGCTGCTCAAGAAACGCATCGGGCAACTCTTGAGTGGAAGAACGCATGCGCCAAGCACGCGGGCACATCCCAGGGGCGCCGGGCCGTGTTTGGATCGCTTGGCGGGCCATTCCGCTGGATCCCCCCAGGGGTTCCTGAAGTGGCTATTTCCTGTGGCCGTCCAGCTATCGCTCGGGTCCGCGACAGTCGGGAGCCCGACACGTGGCGACTCTTGTGCGTGTGATGGCACCCGTGGGGCGACGCTGGGCCCCAGTTGGGCAGCACCCGGGGTGGCCTTCAGGGAGCGCCTGTGGTGGAGTCCGGGCCACCAGGCCTCGGGCGGCTGGGCCTGGCCAGGATCACGGTCTTGCGAGCCGCTCTCCGCGAAACTGCAGGTGCCAAAGGTTCGCAGTCCCCTTGCGCTTCTTGCTTCTGCCCCTGCTGGTTTATGGCTAAGGCCTTACGGCCAGTGCCGCCGACCCTGGATAGCTCGGCCCTCGAGGGTGACGGGATGCGTGATAAGACGTCGGAGGTAAATGAAGACGTGGCGGAGGAGGAGGAGGCGGAGGAGGAGGAGGATGAGTAGGAGGAGGAGGAGGAGGAGGAGGAGGAGGAGCAGCAGCAGCAGGAGGAGGAGGAGAAGGAGGAGGGGGAGGGGGGGAGGGGATGGGGAGGAGGAGGAGGAGGGAGGAGGAGGAGGAGGAGGAGGAGGAGGAGGAGAGGGAGAGGAGGAGAGGAGGAGGAGGAAGAGGAGGAGGAGAAGGAGGAGGAGGAAACGGAGGAGGAGGGGGGAGGAGGAGGAGGAGGAGGAGGAGGAGGAGGAGGAGGAGGAGGAGGAGGAGGAGGAGGAGGGGAGGGGGGGGGGAGAGGGAGGGAGAGGGTCGCCCGGGCATCCGTATCTGCCCCCACTCCCCACCCCCCCACCCCCCACACCCCCGGTGGGGAGGGTAGGGAGGGGCTTCGCCACGACTACGATTTCCTTATATTTCGTGTTCGATTTCCTTGTATTTCGGGCGACGACGATGACGACGACGACGACGGCGACGACGACGGTGATCCACGCAAGACGACGACACCAGGATGCGTCTTCCACACGCCGACAGGGTCGGCGGATTACGTCTTCTCGTCTCTCGTCGCCCTCCGAATGTCTTCGGGCCAGTCCTTGAGGAGGGCGTCTCGAGAGTCATTGTTGCCTTCTTTCGGCGCCCGCCGCCGCTGCCTCATAGGCCACCGACATATCCCCGAGTCATTGGCCCTCGGGGCAAGGGCGGCCCCCCCTTGTCTATTCTGTTCAATGTAAGTCGCATGCGATTCGCACAACTCTACCCGCTACTGTAGAGGAGATGGACAAACAAGTCCAAACTGAACTTTGCAGCCAGGGCTTCGGCTAGGAATTCGGGCCGCAAACTGCCCAGTACTCTTCCTGCTCGGGATAACAATTCGCCATGCCTTCCCCTTCCCATTCCCTCCACCTCCCCCATCCTTTTCCATAGTGCAGTGGCAGGCTGGCAGCAGCTGACGCGCTGCACTACCTGGGAACGTGCAGAGGCGAGTCATGGTCGGCGGTGGGCTTCGATGCTGTTCCCTTGTTGTTCGTCGCCGCACTTGGCCTGTTCTGGGCTGGCCCAGCCAGCGGCATGGCAATTAGGGCAAGGCGCGACAGTGCAGGCGCCACTAGACGCCAGAGCATTAAGCCCAGTAATCGTGGCCGGGCAAAGCGAGTCCCAGCCCGAGTCGTTTCGCGTATCATCTTGTTGGCTGGAGAAGACAAGTTGGGTCGAGAGGAATTCGGTTGCCGCAGTGTTAGGAACTTTGAAGTCCACCAGGGGGAAGGCCAACGACGCCGTGTAACTACGGATGGATGACCATTTGTTCCTTTCCTCTGACAAAGGCCCTCTCCAACACGTCATCTTGTGCTCCCTGCGCTATCACCCTCAGTATCGGCAGCAGCGGCGGCGGTCGCCCCAGCAGCAGCAGCAGCAGCTGCAGCAGCAGCAGCAGTTCGCGCATTCCGCAGGACGAGGAAGAGGACGATGATGACGAGGACGAGGAGAACACGTACGGCCTCGACCAGAGCGGTCGGCAAATGTTCTCTCTCGCCGCTTGGGGCCATGTACTCCCCGCCGGAGGAGTTGCATCTTGATCGCGCGGATGTTATCCCCAGCAGCTCGCGGCATTTGTTTCGTCACGTTTGCTTACATTCGCATGACCTCCTGGCAAGCATTCCTACTGATCCCGCAGAGCGGGAGTCGCGGCGGGCCCCCGCCCTGCGCCGTCTTGGACGCCTCCGAGGATTCCCCAGGGCCACCCGTGGAAACCCGACGACAGCCCACCGAGGAGAGCCCAGAGGCCCAGAGGAGCACTGGGGGCAGAGAGGCGCTGGTGGTGCCGCCAGGAGCTGTGCTGGTGGGGATGCGCGAGCGCAGTCCTCCCGAAACCTCTGTTGTGGAACACACAAAACAACACACGCTGTGGAAAACATGTTTTGATCCGCGGGTCGAGAGCGCACCTCTTCCGGTCGAAGCTAAGCGGGCCGCGCACAGCTTTCATTGACAGATGGGGGAAGGCAGAAGGAGGAGCCTCACGTCAAGGCCAAGAGAGGGCAAATCCCCGGAATCCGCACTGTGGAAAACAAGCACAGATTTGTTCCACAGACACTTTCCGCAGACTGTGTTTTTTTTCCCAACGGTTTTTTGTTCCACTGTGTGTTTTTGTCCACGGAGCCCTTCCATGTCTCCCCATCCCTCCGCACTCCCCCCGAAACCTGCGCAACGCTCCCATTCCTCCACATCCCCGTCCGCACGCCTCCCAAACCTGCTGCATCCGTCTCGGTTCTCCGCACACCCCTCCGCACTCCTCCTGGAAGAGACCTGCGCAACCCTCTCATCCCTCCCCACCAGTCCGCACTCCCCCCGAGACCTCCGCAACCCTCCCAGCCCTCCCACGCCTTCGCACTCCTCCCGACCCTTCCCTGACGACCGCTCTGCTTCTCTTTGGTCCCGCTTGCTGTCGCCCGGCCATTGAAAACGAGGCTTTCCTGCACGGCCCTGGCCACCCGGCGCTCGCAAGCTCGCACTCCGGGGGCCCGCCGCACTGAGCTCGCAGAGCGGGAGTCACGGCGCGGAAATTCGCACGCAGATTCAGTTGTTTACGCCGCGCCGTCGACCCTCGTGGGGTTCCTTGGCGATTAGACGCAGCAAGCTGCGCGGCCAGCGGCAAGATAGGGAAGCCGAGAGTGGCCTAAACGGCGCAGCATTGGACCGCGCGCGTTTGCATCCTGGGATTCATGAGCGAGCTGCCAGCGGAAAGGGGGAGGCAGGTGCTCTGCACCTCGAGAAAGGCTCATGGTATTGCCGTGTTGCCTTGGCATCGCTCGGACGCGTGCGTTTTCGTCGGCGGGGACCATCGAGGAGCATCTTGGGTCATCTGTTTTTTGTTATAATCATTATTAATATATATATATATAAACAGACGAAGTCGACGCATACACGGGGAATGGCCGTCCGAGCGATGGCGAGTTGCGTGCCGCGAGTGCCATAGTGTGCGTGTGGAAGCCAGCACACTCGAGTGTTGTTGCGTCGCCCTTGAGCTCCAGACTGCGAGGCGCAACATATTAACAGAAAGGCCCCCCAGTGGAACCCGGCAGTCGGACAAAACATACACCACGGAGGGGCTTTTCGAGGCCTTCTGCAGGTTGATTTGGTGCCTCTTTGTTTCCCAGCCCTCCGTCGTTGGGGTCGCGTTCTTCCTTCCTTCCCGCCTCCCTCCTTCCTCTCTCTCCCTCTCCCTCTCTCTCTCCCTCTCTCTCTCTCTCTCTCTTTTTTTCTCTCTCTCTCTCTCTCTGTCTCTCCCTCTCTCTCCATGTATTGTAGCGCCTCCCTCTCTCCCTCTCTCTCTTCTCTTGTCGCGTCCCTCTCTCCTGCTTGCCTCCGACCTCGCAATCCCTGGAGGGCTGCGCACTGCGAAACTGTCGTCACTTTCGAGGGCTGCTGGGGGGTCCAGCAGAGTGACGTCTTACGCAGATCAGAGCGGGACCTCGCCGTTGCTGGGGGGCTGCGAATTGTGGAAGTGTCGTTACTTTCGAGGGTTGATGGGGGGTCCAGCGGAGGGATGTCCTACGCAGATCAGAGCTGGATCTCGCCGTCGCTGAGGGGCTGCGAACTGCGAAACTGTCACGGGTTTCGAGGGCTGCTGGGGGTCAGGGGAGCGACGTCTTAGGCGGATCTGAGCGGGACCTCGCCCGTGCTGGGCGGCTGCGCATTGCGTAATTGCCACCTTCCTCGGAGGGCTGCTGGGGGTCCAGCGGAGTGACGTCCTGCGCAGGTCAGAGCGGGACCTCGCCGTCGCTGGTGGGCTGCGTATTGCGAAATTCTCACCACATTCGAGGGCTACTGGGGGGTTCAGCGGAGAGACGTCCTACTCAGATCAGAGCGGGACCTCGCCGTCGCTGGGCTGCGAATTGCAAGCTTGTCGCTGTTTCGAGGGCTGCTGGGGGGTCCAGCGGAGTGACGTCCTATGCAGATCAGAGCGGGACCTCGCCGTCGTTAGGGGGGGCTGGGAATTGCTAAATTGTCGCCATTTTCGAGGCTGACTGGGGGGTCCAGCGGGGTGACGCCGTACTAAGAGCGGGACCACGCCGTCGCTGGGGGGCTGCGACTTGTGACACCGTCGCCACGTTCGAGGGTTGTTGGGGGGTCCAGCGGGGTGACGCCGTACGCAGATCAGAACAGGACCTCGCCGTCGCAGGTGGGCTGCGAATTGGAAAATTGTCGCCACTTGTGAGTCTGGCCAGGGGGTTCAGTGGGGTGATGCCGTAAGCAGATCAGAGCGGGACCACGCCGTCGTTGGGGGGCTGCGGATTGCGAATCCGTCGCCATTCTCGAGGGTTGTTCGGGGGTCCAGCGGGGTGACGTCCTATCCAGATCAGAGCGGGGACCTCGCTCCAGAGACCTAAGCAATCACCTCCGGCAAGCCCTCGTCGATCGATCGGTGCCCGACGAGTCGCGCAGCTCGCGAGCCTCCCACGCAGCGCTCGCCGCAGAAGATACACGCCACCCTACAACGACTGCCCAGCTGCTCTGGCCACGCGCTGCGCAGGGGCTGGGCACGTCGCCCGGGGAATCTTCGGGGGGGGGGTTCTTGGCGGCCAGTCGAGGGCGTTCTGGGGGGCAGCTTGGGGTCTCTTGGGAGTTTCCTGGGGGCTTCTTGGGAGCTTCTTGGGGGCATCGTGAGGTCTCTTGGGAATGTTCAGGGGGAGGGGGTTCTTGGCGGCCAGTCGAGGGCGTTCTGGGGGGCAGCTTGAGGTCTCTCGGGAGTTTCCTGGGGGCCTCGCGGATTTTTTGGGGGGAAGCGTTCTGGGGGCTGTTCGGCCGTGCGGCGCCCTCGGAAGCCCTCGTGGCGCCTCTCGGAGCCGTCGCGGGGGCCCACTGGGCCACCTCAGGGCCTCATTGACCATTCTCGGGCCCTGGGGTGCTATATTGTGTTGTTTGGGGGCGATGCTTGCCTTTTCTCTGCCATCCTGAATGCTGGGATGACAGAGAAGGCGACTCGTCTGGAAGCGCATGCTTCCGGGAGGGGGCGGAGCGCTTGTTTTGGGTGGTGGGGCTTCTTGGATGCCTTCTTGCAGCGCGCTGGGGGCATCTTGGAGGCCCCCTGGACTGTCTGGGCGCCATGCGGGTGCCATCAGAGGCCACGCGGAGGCCATATTGGGCCATACTGAGACCTTCTGGATCATCATAGGGCCGCCAATGAGCCTCCAGTGGCTGCGGGGGGCCTTCGTGGCACGCGCCCAGCGCCCCCCTTGAGAGCTTTTGCCGATACCCGACACCGTCTATAGCGAGTCTTCCATGCTGCCTATCCTGTCTCAAGCCGTACCCGTCGGTTATTGCACGTCGGCATTATTGTTGGATCACCAGATTCCAGTCTATATCTTGGCATCGCTCGGACGTGTGCATTTTTCTTTCGGCGAGGACCATCGAGGAGCATCCTTTATCATTTGGCGAAAAAACCACGCACGAAACCGACAACAACACAGGGAATGGACGTCCGAGCGATGGCCAGATATTATTAGGCGCCTTCCTACTTCAAGAGTCGAGCGGCCTTCCCTCGTTGCTCCTCTTCGGGGGGCGGGCGGGAGCCCGATCTGCTTCCAGCGCCTTCAAGCTTCATCACGGTTCTGCCTACTTCTTCCGACCGACGTGTAAGGTTCAGGAGGGAAAAAACACACAGACACAATGAATCGTCGATTCCCAGAAAATATGGGAAACTATGGGAAGTGTGGGGGGGGGAGACAAAAACCCAGAAAATATTGAAAAATATGGGGATGCTTTATTTGTGTGTATTTATTTGTGTGTCCTGGGGCCCCTTCAAAGGTCTCCATGTACTTTGCCAGTTTCTTTGGAGCCCATCAGGGCCAGGGCCCGCAAGCGGGCCCTGCCGCACGAACCCCACGGAGCGCGAGCACCGGCGGGCCCCCTGGTCGGGAAGCTGGCCCACCGGCGTGGCCCTGCGGCACGTCGTTCGGGCCGGACGAAAGGGAGGGATAGGGCCTCCTCCTCCTCCTCCTCCTCCTCCTCCTCCTCCTCCTCCTCCTCCTCCTCTCCTCCTCCCTCTCTCCTCCTCCTACTCCTCCTACTCCTCCTCCTCCTCCTCCCCCTCCTCCTCTCCTCCTCCTCCTCCTCCTCATCCGCAGATCGGGCCGGACGAAAGGGGGGGATAGGGAAAGGGGGGGTTACGAAATTTGCTGCATGTAGCGGGTTTCGACCCCACCGAGGGGCCCATTCCTCGATACATGGCCGCCTCCGGCGCCGGGAGGCGCCGGGAAAATCAGTTACGTGAGCTGATTCTCAACCCCCCCCTTTGCTATCCCCCCCTTTCGCCCGACCCGAGTCATGGGGCCGCCAACGGAACCAGGAGGTGGTGGCTGAGCAGGAAGGGGTCGACCGACAAGCGAACGGCACCACCCCACCTGCCGCCCTCCAAGTCGCGCTACGGTCCATCGGGGGCCGCAGCGTATACCACGCCAACGCCATCGTCAGATTTTCTGGTACACGCTGAAGCCCCGTGGGGCCGTAGGAGG